TGCAATGTGTTGTACCTATACAGGTGCATTTCGATCATCATCTGCTTTGAATGTATATGTCACTCAAATATGAACGGAACGGGGATGTGTCATTGACAATGACTTGTTTTAATTTGCTTTCACAGAAAGAAAGACGAGGTAACCCTCAAAAGAAGCCTGGACGCCGGAGGTTTAAGTGCAGTATTTTGTAATGTAATGAGTTGAATGTGTTGTCAACTGTGCTTCCCTCAGTGTCGAACACTGATCTTATTACCGCACTGTATATCTTGCAATATTTTTATTTTTCTCCTTTGTCTGTGCTTTTCTTGTTGAAGTATAACAGCAGGTTTGTAAAATATTTTGCTTTTTTTTATCATTCAAGACAGTAAATCGTTTGGAGCACCACCGCAAAGTTACCAAAATCCAAACACTCTAAAATAAACATCCAAATCACTGATAAATTGCCACAACCTGCATCATCATAAATTGTCATCAGAAGTTTGTTTGTTTTTTTCTTACTGCTGGGCATAATCTGTAGCAATGAAATAATCAGCATACAACTAAAGAATAAGTATGCTTGATAGTTGATACAATTTACCCATAAAAAATTGGTTCTTTTTGAACTTCCAAAGTTTGTTGTTTTAAAATTTGAATCATAATTTTGTCATTAGACGATAAAATATTGTTCACTGCGGTATAACCCAGTCCCAAACATCTGCTGATTTACCTGATGTATTACTGCGTTAAAAAAAACTATGGCCAAACACTTTTATCAGCTTAGAACATAACAACAATATTTTTTCTGCATGGACTTTGTACTGATTTAGCATTACACTGTACTGTAAGTGATACAGACTGTCAGTGTACACAGTGACATTAGATGCATGAACGTCATGCTCCTTATTATACCCAACCTAGAGAGCTGCTCTGTAAGTGTAATCTCAAAGACCACACAGGACTGCATATCAAAATTCGTACAGCACAGTTTTCGACATTGTAAGATTATGGTGCCAGATATAGAAAAGGAAACTAACAATGACCAGTAGTCATATTGTGTGTTTCTTACCCTCTTATCTGGTACGCTTGATGATTTGATTTCCAAACTTAGCAGGCCAAGCTAGTGGCTGCATGTGAAAACAGTTATGTAATTGTCTAACAGAATGCTGTCGCCAATATATTTAGCTTATGTTTGTGTTGTCAATTCTGGGTCTGACTTCCTACATGTAATCTCAGACTAGTAATACAATTTGTATTACTAGTCTGAGATGTAATGGAGGCAGTATATTGTTACATGTGATGTTATTAATTCATTACTATTTGGTTTATGAACTTTTAATCTTAAACAATGACCTTTGACCCACAGTCGGTCTTGTGTACTTTTTAACCATAATTATAGAACGTTTTTAATCATATACCATGGTGATACATGAATTATACATTGTAACCTTTTTGCCGAAAGAATACTGAAATTTGACCTCTTTTGTGGAAGGTCCACACTGTATCCAGGCTGAATATTCAATTCTGAATTCTGTGATGTCCTAGTTATTTGTTTACAGAGAGTAAACTAGGGAGAAAATTGTGTGATGTCAGTTGTTTAAAATGAGTAAACTAGGGAGTAAATTGTATGATGTCACTGTTTACAGTAAATGGACTAGGGAGTAAATTGTGTGATGTCAGTTGTTTAAAATGAGTAAACTAGGGAGTAAATTGTATGATGTCACTGTTAATTACAGAGAGTAAACTAAGAAGTCAATCACTTGAAATTTGAAAACAAGTTGTTTGTGCTTGTTCAATAGCAACAAATAGGGTACATCTAACGGCAGATGGAATACTAGTTAGCTAGTCACGATGATGCAGATGAACAATGATTTTGCAACTGTAAATGTTGCTTCATTTGTCCAAAATGCATTTGTTTGAAAAATTGTGATGTATAAATTTGCATATAAAGGAATTTCCTAGGATTGAACACTGATTTAAAAAAAAATGCTTTTGCACATTTTTCATTTTTCTTCTCTGCAATCTTGAATAGATTTGTGTGAATAGCCTAAAGCAAACTACAGATATATGCAGCAAACTAAGGAGACATTACTGACATTGAAGTACTCCCAAGATGCACTTCACTTCATACGTACACAATGTCCTGCAAATATCAAGAGCAAAGTTGTTAGCACATTGTTTTTTATAAGACGAAAAATAGATAAAATGCACCGTGTGAGGGCGGTATGCAAATTAGGAGCTCCACTCAAGCTGTGATAGGCTAAGAGCTAGATAAAGTTGAATTTCCAGGGTGCTTGAAATCCTTCAGTATATACTTCGAAAAATTATCGTGTCAAGATATTCACACAAGTACTGTTATTTAATAAAAAAAAATATTTTAGTTCTGAGGTTTAATTTAAAATCATGTGAATAACACATGATGCATTGTGTTACTAAATATTTTTGTTTTGTTTTTTTAAAAACAAACTTGTCTTCTCAGCACTTTTCCAAACATCTGCACAGTTTCTTGAGGCGAAAGTTTTTTTAAAATTAAAATTGACATGTAAGTAGATTATGGATGAAATAATTGTGCTGTAATTGTTTTTTTATTTCTCTCACTCTTCATATTGTATGTATGCATGACTGAAATAAATAAAAACACCTTCTTTATAAATACAATGTATCTTGATTCTGTGGGTGGTGATATATACCGACTGGTATGTGCATTTTGCATGTGAAATTGTAAAAAAAACAGGCGGTGGTAGTGAATTGGACATATGTGTTATGCACAGAAAAGAATGACATACCAAGAATCGCTTTAACATGGGCATCAGAGGGCAAATAGAATGTGGGAAGACCAAACGAGAATTGGAGAAGAACTTGGAAAAAGAAAGATATCAATTGGAATACAAGACTTGGGCAGAGGCAGAAGTAGCGGCTCAAGACAGAGAAGCATGGAGAAGGAGAGATGCTGGCCCTATTCTTCACCAGGAAACAAGGAAATGATGATGTGAATTTTGCTCTAGATTGACCTAAGCTTGAAAAAAAAAATGTTTCTTGTATTTTAAGAGTTTGATCACCAGCATTCAAGATTGCTATTGCCACTATTATTAAAACGGGGACCTGATTTGCATTCACCTTCATGATGACTTTGGAAATAGTTCTTTCATACAACATGGCTTAGATGCTTCGTAGGCTTAGTTTCCACTCTATTCAAACTTTGGGTCGCTACTAAATGACATATGTACATGTATTGGTTAATGGGTTGGTGGTGCGACATTTGTGTTGATAACCATTGATTTTCCCACAATCCAATGTGCTCTTATAATGGAAATCACGAGTACAAGTTTTGATCTGGGCACAACGTGCACTAATTATCGCTGGTGACTTCCAATTACCGTGGAAATTACATAGTTAAATCTTAGTAACGTCTCAGTTGTACTTATTGTCTGCACAACGGTCAAAGTCGCCGTCTTTGTTCATACGAGTCTCGCATCTTGCACATGCGTGGCATGACGACCACCACCCCTTAACGCTTGACTAAAATACAAGCATTACAGGAAATTACTAATGTCTGGTTTTCTGGCCCAGTCCCCGCCCATTCCCATCTATCTTGGTGTACTACACTAAGGAGCACAAGGAACCTGGCCGCATGGTGAAGTTGCCTTGTGCTAACTCTTGTAAGAATTAAGTTCAGATTCAGGGGTAAATAACCACGTCATCAGCCATCATAGATTCAGCCAGTAGGTAGTAATGAAGAAAAAACAAAATTAACTGTAGATGGCGCACATTCGCAATACGAATATTTTATCAGACATTTCCCAAAAGTAGTTAAATTGCTCTATGGCTAACAAAAACTTCCTCAATCACGTTGGTTACCCTAGCTACAGGCATTTCATCTTTTTAAAAATGTATGCCCATATATGTACATTTAAATTATGAAGTATAGCGCCACTAGTGGCGGAAGTTGAAAGAAAGATCAAGAAATTGCCACTTTATAACTTGCTTCACGTCGATTTGAGTGCAACTTCCATGGCACCTTTAGCTAAAAAAAGTATGTTCTTTCTGGGATTTGTTTCAGGTGACGAACGTTAGTCACGTATCTATAACACTGCGATAAAGACGTTTTCGATTTTGTGAAATTCTTTTGTTTTTATGCAGGAAAATCTTATTTACTATTAAAGTTATTGTTCATAAAGAGTTGTTGAACACAATACATAGTTTGTAATTTCGTTCAGCTTCTTTCAGGCATAATTCAAGACAAACAAATGACAAAAATATAGAGCATATATAGATAATTATCTTTTTTTGTATGAAAATGAATTATGAAAATTATTCATGGGTGCATAGAAAATGCATTTCGTTAATTATTCTTAGTAATAATTTCTGAGTTATCTTGTCAAAATCAGGGTTTTCTCTCCCAAAAAACGAAAGAATTTCACAATGACGAAAACAGAAAGTCTTTACCGCAGTGTGTTATACGTATTCATACATTTCGCTTTTCAACTTAGGCTTCTGGTTACTTTCATAATAAAACGTGTCGAAGATGTGTAACCTCAGTTTATTTTAAACAGTAAATTAAAACTCGTGGAATGTCTAATATGCGTAAGATGCAAATCTGGCCATCTTAATCCGTGTCATATGTGTAACATATCTGAGCCTTCCTAAACCTGTGTATCATGCAACTCCGACCCTTCTCACATGCGTAACATAAACATATTGTCATTGCTGGATAATGTTGCTAAATTTTTGTGTGTGGGTTTTTATTCATATTTTTTTTGTCATTTTGTCTGTAGGGTTTGCCACCACCCTCACCGTGTTTCTAATACTAGTAGCCATTTCCTAATTATCTCACAAATGTCAATGCAATGCCACGGATTCCACAATGAAAACAAATGAATGCCGCATGATGTATGATAGTTGCGCTCAGTGTGTTCAATGTGTAGTATTATCTGGACTGCCAACAAGTCACTCGCCATCGTTGCTTAGCACGCCCTCTTTTGGCGGATATTTAAAGCTGTGTCTCGCAATAAGGTACGAACAAATATGTGAAATTTCGCAAACGCCTGCGCTGCTTGAATATCAGAATTGTCAATAGAATAAAACAAAACAAAACTTCCCTCAGACGCAGTGTCGTCATGGTATAGGACTTCCGTCAGAATAGTGTATTAAGGGAGGAGATGGGGATAGCTGGTACAGGTTACAGGGAATAAAAACTGCATTTTACGTTTTTACATGAAATAAAACGAAAGTTCCGTTTACAGTAAAAAAAAATATTTTTTACATTTTTATAATATTTCTGATAATTTGAGTTTAAGAATCAACATTAGAAATTGCGTGCGAATTACAACATTTAATTTGGAAAATGCTTTATACGCTTACAAAAAATAATATCTTTGTACAAATTATGGACGAATAAAATAGCTGATAACATTTTACACCTTGTCTACGAATTTACGTTTTTTATTTATTTAAATTACATTATTACGAAAATATAAACAATTACAGCTCACGAAAATACCCCTTGTCGAATCTCTATTAAAGTAAACGGTGGTCTTCAGTTGAAGACGCATCGGCTAACCGTCCGATGATTCCTTCTCTGGATATTGTTGTTTATACTAGTATGTCAATTTCACTGTTCATGAATGACGTTTTGGCAAATGATAGTGCAATTGACATATAAACAAGAAAACGTCATCACGAGATACGCGACAGTGTTTAGTGGTTCTTAGGAAAATTCCAAGCGTAACTTCGTGGATTACACGAACGTGTTACATGTAACCACGGTTTCTAGCAGTAATGATAATATTTTATTAGGCTTTGAAGCCTTGAAGTCAACAGAATAACTATTAAAGCACTTGTGCATATCTGAATTTTCATAGGCAGGTGAGAAGATCATGATTTTGGATTTCTTTGGTGTATTATTTCCCAAATCCTTATTGATTGGCCAAAAGGCAGCGTTGAAAAAAAATAATTAAATTTAAAAATAATTCCACCTGAGAAAAATATATCTACAATAGTTGGTTCTCCGGCGCTTTCAGAAATTGTATTGGTCAGAGATAAATAGAATTTACTTCCCAAGTGGTAAGTTGATTTTAAAAGAAATGGAAATTGATAAATATCTTCTTTTCCATCAGTGCAAAGCTTACATACCCTTTCACCCTTATAACTTTCCCATCCTGTTTTATCCCCTTCCAAATCTATGGCGTTTGACCTCTACTTATATAAGTTTTCTTTTTATTATTGTTGTGTTTAATCCAAACATGTTGTTCTAGGGATTGTATGTCTTAAGAAGTTCACCAAAACGCTTTATTTTATTTTATTCACTAATTTTGTATACTAGTAATAGAAGCTATTATTGTAAACTAACATTCTGTTGTCTTTCCTAATACTGTTTGATGTACTACATTCCTATTCACTGTAACCGTGTGTAAACGTACACCTATTTATTGCCACATAAGGACGTTGTTCTCCAAAGACTCCGGGCTCAAAACAGAGATCTTGAGAGTTACTGGACCACTGCAAAATAAGGTTTTATGCTTGGCCGCTGAAGGTCACATCGTAATTCTTTTTGTGTCAAGTTCACGCATTTTGTTTTTTTCCGAGAGATACGGTCACCCTTGATTTTTTTTTTCAATAAATTACGCAGTCATCATCTGAGTTTTAAAACAGTTAAACATAGCAACATCGAGGCGTAATATTCGTAATTTGTTCTTATGAAAAAAATATACACCAGCAAGTTTCAGGATGTGTGATCTTTAGGTGTCACGCATATGGCATATGTGATTCAAGTTGTATTTTAGTCATTGATTTATATTTTGTTTGTTTATTTGTTTATATAATTTTTTACTGTTGAACAGTACAAAGCAGTAGGACAACAATTACCAACTACCACGCTCATTCCATCGCAGTTACGTCCTAGCTTGGATCTAGTATCGCAGTCTCTCTCAGATAGAGGGGTTGTGCCAATGCCTATCTGCAATATGTAGAATAGAATAGAATAGAATAGAATAGAATAGAATAGAATAGAAGTCATTGCACAGTGTGTTATTCATTCACCACTGCAAAATGACAAAAAACAAGCATATTTATTCGTTGTATAGAAGGCAGAGGTGAGTGTGCGCGCACGTTTTCTCATCATAAAACAGGCCGAAAATAGGTTGGTGAATGTAGTTCATTTGGTTGCCTGTAGTGTCTACTGTATGCTTACCCGGCATTGACGAGTTGAAGTCACACATGTCTCTCTCAAAGGAACCATAGACCGTATATAGTCTATGTAGTCTGTACAGGAACTCTCGATCAATCACAACATAAATACAATTACTCATCCTTTTGACGACAACAAATGCACATTCCAAATGAGCTTTATGTTGCAATCAACCATTATACAATGGCTGGGTATATGCGTAACTCGATCAGCGGCGACAAAGGCCTTCAAGTTGTTTGATAGTATAGTCTCAACGAGGTAGCATTTATCCACCAGTTATTTCTAATACGCCCGAGAACAACACCTTGCACAAAAAACTCTCATCGACCTTTAGACCTTTGGTTCCATTAAAATGTGAATTGTTATTTCTCGCGACACTGTGTTTTTGTCATCACACACTTTGTCGTCTGCTGAAAGCATTGTCAACGATGACCCTGCTCAGCAGCTCACCTGGACCAAACCATTCTGT